GCTGCTGGGAGCGTGGGAATATTGGGACATGCGCTGCTGGGAGCGTGGGAATATTGGGACATGAGCTGCTGGGAGCGTGGGAATATTGGGACATGAGCTGCTGGGAGCGTAGGAATATTGGGACATGCGCTGCTGGGAGCGTGGGAGGGGCTGGTGGGTCGGGGGAGCACAACTCCCCCAGGATGTGAGGATCGCGTTGCGTGACACCAAATCCACCAGCAATGGCAGCTGAAAATTGGAAAACTTTGAACTCAAAATTCCAGAATTTGAATTCCAGAAAAATTTCTTAATTATGTGGGAATTACAGCAACTCTGCGTTCATTGCTTGATTTAGGAACTGAGTAGTAAAGTTCTTGCAGTCTATTATGATGTGAATTTTTAAATTATATTATTCTTTGATCATCAATGAAGAGAAGAATTCTGGAAATTAATGAAGAGAACTTGGATTTAACGATTAATATACCTAATAAATAAATTGGGATTTGTTTGAAGTTATTTAATATGGAATTATTTAACAAATAAAAGTAGGTTTTTACACCTCAGGACAGGGGAGAGGGGCGCCGAGAGGGCAGGGGAGTGGGGTGCCAGAGAGGGCAGGGGAGTGGGGTGCCAGAGAGGGCAGGGGAGTGGGGTGCCAGAGAGGGCAGGGGAGTGGGGTGCCAGAGAGGGCAGGGGAGTGGGGTGCCAGAGAGGGCAGGGGAGTGGGGTGCCAGAGAGGGCAGGGGAGTGGGGCGCCAGAGAGGGCAGGGGAGTGGGGCGCCAGAGAGGGCAGGGGAGTGGGGCGCCAGAGAGGGCAGGGGAGTGGGGCGCCAGAGAGGGCAGGGGAGTGGGGCGCCAGAGAGGGCAGGGGAGTGGGGCGCCAGAGAGGGCAGGGGAGTGGGGCGCCAGAGAGGGCAGGGGAGTGGGGCGCCAGAGAGGGCAGGGGAGTGGGGCGCCAGAGAGGGCAGGGGAGTGGGGCGCCAGAGAGGGCAGGGGAGTGGGGCGCCAGAGAGGGCAGGGGAGTGGGGCGCCAGAGAGGGCAGGGGAGTGGGGCGCCAGAGAGGGCAGGGGAGTGGGGCGCCAGAGAGGGCAGGGGAGTGGGGCGCCAGAGAGGGCAGGGGAGTGGGGCGCCAGAGAGGGCAGGGGAGTGGGGCGCCAGAGAGGGCAGGGGAGTGGGGCGCCAGAGAGGGCAGGGGAGTGGGGCGCCAGAGAGGGCAGGGGAGTGGGGCGCCAGAGAGGGCAGGGGAGTGGGGCGCCAGAGAGGGCAGGGGAGTGGGGCGCCAGAGAGGGCAGGGGAGTGGGGCGCCAGAGAGGGCAGGGGAGTGGGGCGCCAGAGAGGGCAGGGGAGTGGGGCGCCAGAGAGGGCAGGGGAGTGGGGCGCCAGAGAGGGCAGGGGAGTGGGGCGCCAGAGAGGGCAGGGGAGTGGGGCGCCAGAGAGGGCAGGGGAGTGGGGCGCCAGAGAGGGCAGGGGAGTGGGGCGCCAGAGAGGGCAGGGGAGTGGGGCGCCANCCTAAGAATAACTGCTCGATCTGTTATTTACTTCCTTAGAATAACTGCTCGATCTGTTATTTACTACCTTAGAATAACTGCTCGATCTGTTATTTACTTCCTTAGAATAACTGCTCGATCTGTTATTTACTACCTTAGAATAACTGCTCGATCTGTTATTTACTACCTTAGAATAACTGCTCGATCTGTTATTTACTACCTTAGAATAACTGCTCGATCTGTTATTTACTACCTTAGAATAACTGCTCGATCTGTTATTTACTACCTTAGAATAACTGCTCGATCTGTTATTTACTACCTTAGAATAACTGCTCGATCTGTTATTTACTACCTTAGAATAACTGCTCGATCTGTTATTAACTTTGAGATCAGAGCACAATACACAACCAAATACTTATAACCTAAATTGTTCCACAACATATTATTATGGTTAATATTAACCTTTTCATATTAAAATTGTTGCAATCATATTATTATACGCAATATTAACCTCAACCAATTAAAATTGTACCTAAACTTATTATTATACTTAATAAGAACTTATTATTATACTTAATATTACCTGAACCAATTTATAATGCCTAATATGAGACGAAAACAATTTTCATGCCCTAATTTATATCTGATCCACTTACAATATCTACTATTATACATGAAAAAACATCATAGCTTGACTAATAAATAAATAAATGAATAAATTTGTCATTATACCTAATAGCATACCAAGTTAAGTATTATGCCTAATATTTTACCTGAACCAGTAATATCTTTTTATTAGTAGAATTGACGCAGTAACGATAATATCTCAATTTATGGAATAATATTTTCTAACTTCAGATATCATTGTAGCGATATCATTGATTGCTACTTTGCTATCATTAATCCTAACGAAAACTATCAGCAAAGGATAACCAGCTTGAAAACTTCAAAATGTCGAAAAATTCACTTTGCCGAAGCTTTAAAAAATTTCAATTGTCACAACACGTTGACACTATAACACCGCCAACATTTCCAATATGACACATAAGGGCTGCGAGGTGTGGCATGAAATAAGGGCTGCGAGGTGTGGCATGAAATAAGGGCTGCGTGGTGTGGCATGAAATAAGGGCTGCGAGGTGTGGCATGAAATAAGGGCTGCGTGGTGTGGCATGAAATAAGGGTTGCGTGGTGTGGCATGCCACAGGTAATCATTCTCCACACAAGATCGATGAGTTTGCAGGTAAAGTGGAGAGGATAGTGTACGTCAATCAGGCAGTAGTGTGACTGGTATAGATTTAATGTATAGATCTCTTATAGATCTCGCGTATAGATCTCATGTAAAGATCTAATATATATAAAATATAAATTGATCCAATAATTGGCGGAGGAGGAGGTTAATGTAATTACCAGCATGAAACCAATTAAAATGAATTGAATATGAATGACTATGATGGAGTGTGAATAGCCAACAGTGAATAGTGACATTTCCAATGTAAAATATCAACATCATCAATAAACTGTGGAAACACGTGAGAAATTCGGTCTTCAAAATCAAATCTATAAATTATCATTATTAATCATAATCATTATGTATCATTATTTATCATACTCATCATATCTCATTATTTATCATCATCATTATGTCTCCTTATATATCATATCCATCATCATTCTTGCATAATTATTCATCATAATCACGTTATAACATTATTTATCAGAATCATTTGGCATCATTATGAATCATAATCATTATTTATCATAATCTTTAAGTTTTCTTCAATATAATAACAAAAACCTGAAATTTAAGTCAGATGAATGCTATTGAGAAAAATAGTTGGGGCATAGTTCATTAAGCGATTTATTTTCATCCCTAATATGGGTCATTTTACCCAAGTTTACGCGGCAAATAGACATATTAGTTCCACGTCCGCTCCATGACGCGCTGTGTTAAAAAATCCTCCGGTATTGGACAAACAAACACATTAATTTTATTGAGTATTGGGCGCCCAGACGGGCTATGAACGTGTCCATAACTTGACACGTTACGCACGTCATGCGTGACGTGTGACGTCACATACGATAATAACACGTCACGCACGTCATGCGTGACGTGTGACGTCACATACGATAATAACACGTCACGCACGTCATGCGTGACGTGTGACGTCACATACGATAATAACACGTCACGCACGTCATGCGTGACGTGTGACGTCACATACGATAATAACACGTCACGCACGTCATGCGTGACGTGTGACGTCACATACGATAATAACACGTCACGCACGTCATGCGTGACGTGTGACGTCACATACGATAATAACACGTCACGCACGTCATGCGTGACGTGTGACGTCACATACGATAATAACACGTCACGCACGTCATGCGTGACGTGTGACGTCACATACGATAATAACACGTCACGCACGTCATGCGTGACGTGTGACGTCACATACGATAATAACACGTCACGCACGTCATGCGTGACGTGTGACGTCACATACGATAATAACACGTCACGCACGTCATGCGTGACGTGTGACGTCACATACGATAATAACACGTCACGCACGTCATGCGTGACGTGTGACGTCACATACGATAATAACACGTCACGCACGTCATGCGTGACGTGTGACGTCACATACGATAATAACACGTCACGCACGTCATGCGTGACGTGTGACGTCACATACGATAATAACACGTCACGCANTCGCCATATAAAATTTAATATTTTTCTACTGAAGGAAATTATACTTAGTTTGCATAAAAAGGCTAAGGTTTTATAGCTTCTTCCAGCGAAGTTTACGCGAGCCTCGCAATCTTTTAATCAAGAAATTGAGAATTTTAATTTAATCAAGAAATAAGAGTCTAACCTCCCCTATACCTGCCATCCCAAAATATGAGAGTCTAACCTCACTTAAAGAGTCATCCCAAAATAGTGAAATTTATCAAAAATAGGAAGATGAAACCCTGCGCCCCACGGGGACTGAATGCTCTCCTGCGCCCCACGGGGACTGAATGCTCTCCTGCGCCCCACGGGGACTAAATGCTATCCTGCGCCCCACGGGGACTGAATGCTATCCCTGTCTCTTATACACATCTAGATGTGTATAAGAGACAGACTGAATGCTGACCTGCGCCCCACGGGGACTGATTGCTGTCCTGCGCCCTACGAGGACTGAATGCTATCCTGCGCCCCACGGGGACTGAATGCTATCCTGCGCCCCACGGGGACTGAATGCTATCCTGCGCCCCACGGGGAGTGAATGGTAACGAGTCTGAAGCTGCGACGCCCACTCAAATAAATTATTGTAACTTCGTCCAAAAAGTGACGCTTTTTCAGCCCTGTGTGGGTCACCTGATCCAGGTCTGTCTAGCATGCAGGGCGTATCAATGCTACGTGCAGTGAAACTGCGTCCAACATATGGGACAACATGACACATTATTTCTTCTGAGTGCGCTTGCAAATCTGGACCACAGAAGTGGCCATCTTTTTTTCCTGCTCGCGATGACGTCATCGCCGCCAAGAATAGGACGAAGATGAGGGACGATGAGGGACGATGAGGGACGATGAGGGACGATGAGGGACGATGAGGGACGATGAGGGACGATGAGGGACGATGAGGGACGATGAGGGACGGTGAGGGACGATGAGGGACGATGAGGGACGGTGAGGGACGATGAGGGACGATGAGGGACGATGAGGGACGATGAGGGACGATGAGGGACGATGAGGGATATCGGAAACAGAGATACAGAGATTTCCAGGGCATATCTTGGCACGACTTCAGCGTTGGATATTAAGAAACTATCATGGGTATGTTATATGTCTCATAACTCAAAACTATAAGTCCCCTTGTCTCATAACTAACAATTATAAGTCCCATTGTCTCATAACTCACAATTATATGTCTCATAACTCACAATTATAAGTCCCTTTGTCTCATGACTCGCCACTATAAGTTCTCTTGTCTCATAACTCACAATTATAAGTCCTCTTGCCTCATAACTCACAACTATAAGTCTCCAGGTCTCATATGTATTCAAAAATAACACTATGCATTAAGAAATAGCACTATGTATTCCCAATTAACACGTTCCAATTAACACAATTAACACGCATGTACAGTATACCAACATTGATATTCCGCTGCTGCGTATTGGGACACCAGTGTACCAAACGCAATATTTTACTCAGTTTCGATAAAACACATATAAGTCGAAATTTCGTTGGTAAACTGCCTCCTTTAGAATATTTGTGTTCACACGAAAGGTTGATAGCAAAATTTGTGCAATCCGGAAACGCGGGGAATGTGTTAATTAAACGGTTCTTATAATTTATAGACCTTCCTGCCAATAATATTGTGCCATTTATGCGGCAGGATGGAAACATTACTAACTTACCCCATTAATTAAAACACTAATGTGAAATCCAAATGGCATTTACGTATCATATTTAATATTTTTCAATCAAGGCAAAGAAAATTAATCTTGAACTATTTGTTACTCTCATGCTACAAAAGGGAGCGCACTCTCGAATCAACTCGGACAAAACCGACGACAGATTCACGGCCAATCAGTCAGGATTTCACTAGAGACTAGTCAGCCAATCACGCCTAACAAAGACCAGGTTCTGACCAGCTTCTAGAGAACTTGCTGCAGCTTCTAGAAATTTTTCTAGTGTCTAGTCAATAGAACTTCAAACCTGTTCAACCATGATGTGGATGAACGGCTCTGCAGTTAATTATGGCTGATTGTAAATTATTATTTATAAAATTTCATCTGCCATGTCGTGGTGTAACCTGGATTTGAAATTTTATTTGTAGGAAAGGAAAAATGGGGCCGTGTAAAAAAAAGGATAAAGATCTAATGAAAAGAATAATATTTCAATTTGATTTATTTCGATGTAATCAAGTAGAGAAATTTGTGTAGAAGAAATAATGAGTTAGAACTATCGTGAAATTCGAAACGGAAGTAAAACAGAGATTCTATGTTAAATGTTGTTTTAACAGCGACATTATCTTGTATACCGTGCGTCCTAACATTAACCGTGAGCCATAATAGCCATGCCACAACCCTGCATGATAACAGCCATGCCATAACCCTGAATGATAACAGCCATGCCATAACCCTACATGATAACAGCCATGCCATAACCCTACATGATAACAGCCATGCCATGACCCTACATGATAACAGCCATGTCATAATCCTACATGATAACAGCCATGTCATAATCCTACATGATAACAGCCATGCCATGACCCTACATGATAACAACCGTGCCATAACCCTACATGATAACAGCCATGTCATAATCCTACATCTCATAACAATGGACGACTGTGAAGCGCAACTTAACTACATTCATAACCTTTTATCAATAAAGCTTTTATTGATGTCTTTGAAATTCTCAATTAAGCTTATTGTTAACGCTCTGCATGTGACTTGATTAAAAGTTCTCGATCAATGGCCAGGATACTTGCCCGATTAGATGTGATTGCTTGTGATTGTCGACTGATTGCACGGCACGATGATGAATGGCATAATCATTCATTCTGATCAAGAAATAGCTATCATTGTAGCTCCGAAAGGTTACTGATTAACACTCGGTCTGTTATTTACTACAATTAGAATAAGTGCTCGGTCTGTTATTTACTACAATTAGAATAAGTGCTCGGTCTGTTATTTACTTTAAGATCAAAGCTCAACGCCGAACGCAAGAGATAAACCCAATAATTATAACTTAAATTGCGTCACAACATATTATCATACCTAATACAGGGTGAACCAGAATTAACTGTCCCTTTTAATTTGCTAATAAATAAAAAACTAAGAACGTTATGAAGTTGAAACTTGTTTTATTTAAAAGAAGAACATTTTTATGGTAATATTGTATCCTAGTTTTAAGGATACAATAACTAACTAGGATACAATATTACATACAATATTTTAACTAATACATATTATTAATACATAATAAATATTTTAAATAATACAATAATAAAATATTGTAATAGGATACAATATTTCCATAAAAATGTTCTTCTTTTATATAAAACATGTATTAATGTTTAATAAATATTTTAAATAATACAATAATAAAATATTGCAATAGGATACAATATTACCATAAAAATGTTCTTCTTTTATATAAAACATGTATTAATGTTTAATACATACATAATACATTAAAATGTATTAACCTTAACCAATTAATAATGCCTAATATCAGACGTAAACCAATTATCATACTTTAATTTATATCTGATCCACTTACAATATCTACTATTATGCATGAAAAACTATTAAACCTAATATCATATCATGACCAATAAATTCATCTCTCATTATACCTAATTTTATACCTGTATGTCAATTGGTATACATAACATTATAACCAAACAAATTATTGGAAAAGAAGACCTAAAACCAAAAAATATTAATTATTATACGAATAATTTTACCCTCGGAAATAACGAGTGATAAACGTATTATTAAACGTAAATGAACTTCATGGCACTTCAGTGTTGGCACTCTGGCGCTAGTGGCACCTGAGCGACCGTAGGCGGTGCCTTACAATAGTTCAGTGACACTGCGGTGGTGGTGTCATCTGCACTGTACTGTACACTATACTGTACACTGTACTGTGCACTGTATTGTGCACTGTCTGTGCACTGTACTGTACACTGTACTGTGCACTGTCTGTGCACTGTACTGTACACTGTACTGTGCACTGTACTGTGCACTGTCTGTGTACTGTGCACTGTACTGTGCACTGTACTGTACAATATACTGTACATTATACTGTACACTATACTGTACACTATACTGTACACTGTACTGTGCACTGTACTGTGCACTATACTGTACAATATACTGTACATTATACTGTACACTATACCTTACACTGTATTGTACACTATACTGTACACTGTACTGTGCACTGTACTGTACACTATACTGTGCACTATACTGTGCACTATACTACGAATGCTTATACACTAAACTGCACTAAATAATGCACACTATACTGCATAGTGTACTTAGAAAAACTCATAGGCAACTTAGCAATACTCATAAGTAGTTCAGCAATACTCATAGGTAACTTAGCAATACTCATAAGTAACTTAGCAATACTCATAAGTAACTTAGCAATACTCATAAGTAGTTCAGCAATACTCATAAGCAACTTAGCAATACTCATAGGTAACTTAAAAAACTAATGAGTAACTTAGAAAAATTCATAGGTTTCAATAAAACTAATATGTAACTCATTAATACTTGGTATTATAATTTTAGCTTGTAGTTTATGTGTCTTCCATTAAATATAATGCAGATAAAGCGGCAAGCAGCCTTTGCAGCGTCTTTCGATCACTCACCGATGCTCCTAAAGTTCTTTTGGTTTCAATTGATATCTTATCATCAATTTAGATATTGAAGTAACCGTTGCCACGCATTATCATGAATTTATTTATCTTATATTCCATGTGTGAATAACTCCGTCTTGTTCATCACTAGGAAACACGACGGCTTTAGAAAGCTCTCTTGTAATGAAGCGGCAGATGAAAATAAAAATATTTCAGCCTTGATTTCAATTATATTTGATAATATTACAATCCATCCTTGTGTACGTAGAACTTAGGGAATTTTCGTCGAGTATCCAATTAGGGTAATGTAATAAAACAATTGAGTGGTGTAATTACGACTGAGTGAAGGAGTTATGATTGAAGGAAAAATGATACAACTTGAGGTTGAAACAATTCAGTAATTGAGACAGGGTTGCAGGAAAAGGTAATTGCAGAGACAGGGTTGCAGGAAAAGGTGATTTCTGAGACAGGGTTGCAGGAAATTCACCTGGGAACCACGCGGCGCTGAGTTCGCTTCCTCGAATTCACGGACTTCCCGTTTTTTTCTGATCTGTTTCCCGTTTTCTGTTTCGCTAAATTTGCTTCTGTTGTGCACAGCTTGGACCTGTGCCACGAGGGGGACAGGGACGGGGTGAAAGTGTGGGGATGAGACGG